GGCGGGGGGGAGGGGGAGGGGGAGCGTGTCGGTTGCAGCTGCCGGGACGGGTCCGGGGAGCAGCCCGCTTGGCTTGTCCAGGGCCAGGCTTGGTGCAGCGCCGGGTGCCGCGGCAACGGGGAGCTTTAAAGCTAGAAGGGGCAAAGCACACGCCTGCAAACGGGCCGGTTCTGCAGCGTGATGGAGACGGGGCAGCCCTGTGGCACAGCACCCCATCCCGTATGTAGGGCAAATATAAAGCGACACTTACATCGTCCCGGTTGTGTTCGTTGACAGATTCTCTTCTCTCCTTGTGGCAAGGAGAAGCAGCGGCAATATCATCAAATGCAATCTAGAAGGGGCAAAGCACACGCCTGCAAACGGGCCGGTTCTGCAGCGTGATGGAGACGGGGCAGCCCTGTGGCACAGCACCCCATCCCGTATGTAGGGCAAATATAAAGCGACACTTACATCGTCCCGGTTGTGTTCGTTGACAGATTCTCTTCTCTCCTTGTGGCAAGGAGAAGCAGCGGCAATATCATCAAATGCAATAAATAGGACACTGGGGAAAATAACGCCCAGATCTTCTTTCCTTATTCCCCATCTTCTGCTCTCCCCTGTGACCGAGCTGTTAACCTTAAATGCCCTGCAGTGCTTTGGCATGGATGTTGATGCATGCACACTTGAAGTTTATTCAGTTTGGTTGAAGGGTTGCTGTATTTTGTGGCTTGTCATCAGATAGTTTATGTGTTTGAGATTTCTAGTCTCGTGCAGCAACAGGTGGTAGTTTGTTTTGGGTAGTGTGGTGGTGTTTGTATTGTCCTAATTAGGATAAACAACAATGTCTGAGAGCCAAGGCAACAGGAATCATAGCAGTTCTTTTTTAAAAATTGTAAATATTTTTAAAAAGTTTAAAATTCAAGAATTGTTCTGCATTTAAAATCTAATTGTTGAGATTCAGTCTGGTACCTAATGCATTGAAAAAGACAATATATGGATTTAGACAATGGGAATCTTACACACATTATACTGCCTACAGAAAGATTATCCTCTTGCCAGTCGTCTCCTTCCCTCTTCACTCCCTAGATAACAGCAGGCAGGTAGAGCACAAATCGGCTTTTCTAGTATCAAACAGAGTCCTTCACTAGTGTAATGAGGACATCTTCAAGGCGATTATTTTGTGGAAGTCTTGATGCTGATCTGTTTTTATCTTCATGTGCTCTGAGAAATAAGCTGCTTTTTAGGAAAACTAGACAAAGCTGATGATTCTTCTGATCCTCAGAGAAGAAACCTCCCTCATCGTATTAGGGTGGTACTCTCCTAAAAAGACAGGTACCTTCCCAAGCTGCTGCAAGGATAATGCTTTTTTCATGTAAAAAGCTGCTAGAATAATGCAAGGAGTCAACTTTGATTAATTTTCAAGAGTCCTTTTTGGAAAATGGTTCTTGTATTTAACTGAGAAATGTTTTTTGTTCGTAATATCCAGGTCCTGTGATATACACCCATGTACAAGGAGCTCTGCAAAGACCGTAAAATCATTTGTGGTTAGCAGTGTGATTGTAGTCCTTAAAATGGACATAAGAGAACTTTTATGCCCACCACTATTTTAAAAAGTGTCAGATTTTGTGTGGATTCCCCATCTCCCACCTTATGTTTCTACATAGGCTGTTAACTAGCGGATTTTCTCATCATTGTTCTGGTCTGGAATTCGGGAATTCCATCAAGTGTGTTTTGTTCATTGCTATAAAATCTTATCATTTGCTATGTTATAACAAAAAAAAGCTATAGTCAATTTGCTTTCCAATAACATTTTCTTCTAGTTTTCCAAACTTAAGTATTGGTTTAGCTGTGCCAAAAAAAAGCACTACTCCAAATGTCTGTTAGATCTTTTTTTTGGTAAAGTTTGAGAAGCAATCCTATTGCAAGTTCGTCCTAATGTTTTGGAAAGCACTACTCCAAATGTCTCCGTTAGATCTTTTTTTTTGGTAAAGTTTGAGAAGCAATCCTATTGCAAGTTCGTCCTAATGTTTTGGATCACTTTGATTCAGTCTCTCAACAGTTTCTCAGTTGTGTCAATTTTGAGGACTGTGCTTGCTTTGGTTATTCTGTCTCTTCTGTTTGGTTTTATGAAATTCCCATTTTCTTAGCACAACAAAACCCTTATGTTGCTTTAAATTATGATAAGATGAAGCCGTATACCAAATTTGGTGGTCCTAGATCTTACCATTTCGGAGGAGTTCTTGATCAGGCAGACAAATTCTCTAAAAGAGATTATTATTAACTTATGAATCTTGTACTTAGGCAGACACATTCTCTAAAAGAGATTATTATTAACTTATGAATCTTGTACAATGAATATGTTTTCTGGAAAATGTTACACTTTTCAAAGATACACAAATGGATTGTAATATAAGAATTGCCATATTTGGTCAAACCATTGGTATCAAACTCAGTATCCTGTCTTCCTAAGATGGCCAATGTTAGATGCTTCAAAGGGAATGAACAGAGCAATTATTAATTGATATATCCCCTGTCATCTAAGGATGTTTAAATGTAGTAGGAGCCGGGCATGCATCAGACCAGCTCCTGCTACATTTATAATGCACAACCACTGTGGGCGTAGGAGGGGGTTAGCTCAGAGGGGTGGTGTGAGCTGGGACTAAGCAAAGCTGCAGAGTCCCAGACCTGCCACAGCCCGGCACTGCTTTGTCTCGGCTTTCACTGGCCCTGGAAGCTACCCTCACTGCGGCTCTGCATTTCCCTGCCACAACCCGGGCGACTGCTTAGTCTCGGCTTTCACTGGCCCTGAAAGCTACCCTCACTGCAGCTCTGCATTTCAAATGTATTACATTTAAAATGCAGAGTTGCAGCGGGGTTTGCTCTGGGGGGCTGGTGCAAACTGGGACTGTTTATTCCTGGCTCTGTGCCACTTCAGAGACAACACTGAGGCTATGTGTCCCCTCCACACCACAGAGATGGTACTGGGGGGGAGGGGGAACCTGGCACCGGCTCCTGCTTCCCCCTTTGCACCCCTCCCCGCAAGGGGGGTATGCAAGTAGTCGACTCCACTATGGTATCAGGACTCATCAACTATTCCCTTACATCCCTATTGTCGTTTAGTGCAATCATCTGGCAGTCAGGGGTTTAGGGACATATAGAGTATGGGGTTGCAACTCTAATCATTTTGGCTAATATCCATTGATTGACCTAATCTCTGAAGTTATTGAATTGCTTTTTGAAGTCAGTTACGGTTCTGGCCTTCACAACATCCTGTGGAATTCATTTCCAGGGGAATATCATCTCATTAATATTTAGAATTCCTGCTTTAATTTGTATTTGTACTTAACTAATTTGAAATTGTTAGATTTTTCTAGAAAGCATAGTAACATGAGCTATATAACAGGTGATGAGTATGGATTTCATCATAGTCTTGTTTCCTTTTTAGTGTGAAGGAGAATGTCTTTATTTAAAGCCCGAGATTGGTGGTCAACAACTCTTGGAGAAAAAGAAGAATTTGATCAAGGGTGTCTGTGTGTAGCTGATATTGACAACAGTGGCAGTGGGCAAGGTAAAGAGTAATACTGAGTTGACCATCAAATGTTAAAGGTAACATAAACATGACTGCAAATTTTACTTAGTCCAGCAACATATGCTAAGTGCTTATTAACGAGCTTAAGTAGAAAGAGGCATTTGTCATGTACTACATTTTGTTGTTCTCCCTCTTTTGTTGTTGTTGTCACAATTCACTTGGATACTATAGAATGCATCATTTCATTATATCCTCTCATTTGCTTTCAAACCACACTAGAACATGTAAGTGGCATTATTTCACATGTATGTGGCAATATTTTCATATTTTTATTATTACTTTGGTGTTTATAACATATAATAATGTTGAAAACATTGCCATGTACTTGAAGGGAAAATCACATATCAAGTATAATTGCAACGTATAACATATAAAAATGTTGAAAACATTGCTATGCACTTAAAGGGAAAATCACATATCAAGTATAATTGCAAAATCCAGTTTTAGATATCTTTTGGCAGGAAATTAAAATAACAACCGGTAGTTTAATGAAGCTAGGGTTAGTTCAGCTGGGAGAAATTATATTTGAGGTCAGCTTGGGTTTGAAGTAGCCAGGGTTGCCTTTGGGACCTGCTTCCAAGACGTAGTTGAGATGAAGAGGAATAGAGTTTCACTAATATATGAATCTTGGCAACCATACAGAGAGAGGATGTTTACCCACAGACTAGGCTTAAAGGAAAGTGTAAAGAAAACCTAGGTTATCTGAAGCACCTTGACGTTGGTAAGCAAAAAGCCTTGGGAAGATAAGGTATTTTTTCTGACCGATCAATTATAGTGTTAAGTTTGCATTTTTTGTTAATATAACACTAGTTTCGTGACTTCCCTTTATGTACATTGTTGCTTGTACAAGCGTAAATTCCCTTAGTTTCATGATTTCCCTTTATATAGGGTACATTGTTGCTTGTACAAGCGTAAATTCCCAGTCTCAAAACATTCACTCTTTTTGTATTTCTACATGGCATTATAGCATGAATCTTCTCAAACAGATATATAGTGCGTGTCACACACATTACTTCTAAAACTGTTACACACTGAAATAGTGAATTAAACTATATTTATAAAATGACAAAAAACTTTCTCAGATGGATTTTGACACAGAATGTAAATTCAATGTTTTTTCTCCTCCCTCAGTAAACACTAAACACTAAGGGCTCATCTAGACTACGCTAACATGTCGAAAGCAGAGCTTTCGAAACTGAAAGTAGTCAAGACGTGGGTTTTTTTTTGGCAACCTCCCCCTTTTTTTGAAAAGCCGTGTAAACCTCAAAAGTGGCTTTTCGAAAAGGGGAGGGGTTGCTGAAATAAACATGTCTTGACGACTTTCAAGATTGGAAGAAGATATGCAAATTCCAGCTTTTCGAAAAGGGGAGGGGTTTCCGAAATAAACATGTCTTGACAACTTTCAAGATTGGAAGAAGACATGCAAATTCCCACAGAATTTGCATATCCTCTTTCAACACGTTAGCGTAGTCTAGATGAGCCCTAAAGCCGTACAGCGGGGTGGGCAATAATTTTCCTTAATTTTGGGATATTGTCATGGACTGGTTCCAGGCCCCTGGAAGGGGTGAAGTTGGCAGCTAGTGAGAGCAAGAGTGAGCATGAAAGAGACACTTTCTGTGTGAGACACAGACTTTTCACACAGATTGCGTGTGTGTGGCACAGAGACTGAAAGTGTATGACTGCTTCTGTGCCACGCACTGCGGTACAGACTGTGTGTGCTGGCTGCTGCTAGCTAAGTTTCTGAGAAGCCACATGCTATCTCTTTACGACAAGAAGTGTGTGTGGGAGAGACACAAAAACAGAGAGAGCCTCTTAAGACAGGCTCTCCTGTGAGTCACTCACCATCCATGCTTCAGATTGGAGCAGCTCTGTTGTGTTTTCCCCCTCTCCCCGCCACCTGCTTTGCCGAGATGGGAGACAGCCGTGGTCACCAACCCGTTGATCGCGATCGACTGGTCGATTGGAAGGGCTTGACCAGTTGATCACGAGGCGTTCGGGGGGCCCCCCTATTCCCTTCACCCCCCCCCAAGAAGCCCCACTACCTACCTCCAGCAACAGGGCTCAACAAACTATGTAATCTACTTGCCCATGGTGAGTAGTTTACAACCTGGAAGGGCCAGGTTCAGGTGAACTGCGCATGCACAGATCGCCGGACAGCGCAGCTGGTGAGCAGGGCTCGCCGCGGTTTGGAAAGCCCTGACAATGGAGGTAGTACCGTCTTCCCACAGTGTGGACAGAAGTCCGGCAGCTGCGCGCCACTTCCGGGGTTTCTGGAAGTGCGCTGCCTGCTCCCCTCCTCCAGGTCTGTGGTGCGCCGGGGACTTGATGAGCACGGGGAGGAGGTAGGAGTACCGGGGGAAGACGCGCTTCCTTTCTCTGCGGGAGCGAGGGGGGGGGCCCCAGTCTGGGACTCTCCCCCTCCTCCCCAATCCCCAAGGCAGAGAGGAATAAAGTCTCTAGTGCACCAACTGGAGCCGGCGCGGGACTCCCCATCCCCCCCGTTCCCAGCCCGCACAGGAAGGCATCAGGCTATACAACAAACCAGTGTTTCAGGTACCGTGCTACTGTTTAGGGCTGAGGGAGCAGCCCACTCACTTCCTGGCCTTGGCCTGCAGCTGCAGGATCCCCAGGTACTGGTCCCTGTCCCCTCCCCCTGCCCAAACCCCCGAAAGTACCCTGCCCCACCACCCACCGGCACCCTGTCCTCTGCCATGGCATCCAGTCTCCTGCCCCGGCACCTACAAGCACCTTGTCCAGGACCCATTTGCACCCTTCCCCAATACCATGCCCCCTGCTCCCACCAGCACAGTTGGGGCCACATTAGTGAGGCTTATGGGGATTTTGGAGGAGTTTTTATTTTGCATCTCACTTGTGTGGCCCCAGCTGACTTTTCTGTGGGTCAGTGACCCCTGACTAGAAACAGGTTCCCTGCCCTTCTCATAAATAAAGACAATGCAGAAACTTTTTGTGTTTGACACAATATTTTATTTAAAAATGAAGCCTGGCCAACAAACCCCCCATCTGCCCACAGCATCATAAAACTCCTGCACTTCCCCTTCCCCCAGACCCGATGTGGCCCCCAACTGAGACATTTTCTTAGTACCCCAACCCAAATTCCTGAACCCAACACTGCCTGGCCTGGAGCCCCCTCCCCAAGCCAGCATCCCCTTCTCCACCTTCTCCTGCATCCAGATTTCCTCCCAGATCTTGCACCTCTCACCCCTTACCCATCCAAATCCTTCATTCCCATCCCAGAGCCTACACATCCTGTCTCAACCTAGCGAGGGTACGGTTAGACTGCAGGAATTTTTCAGGATTCCGGAGAATCGCAGGAAAAACTCTTCTGCATTCAGGGACGCACTTGTTCTTCTGCTTTTTTTTTTAGTGGAAGAGCAAACATGCTCTTTCAGTCACCCCTATATTCCTCTTTTCACAAGGAATAAGGGGGCTTCCAAAAGAAGGGGTTTTTCTGACATTTGGTCCAGTCTAGACAGGCCAAATGTTGGAAAAACCTCTTCCTACAGAAGAATTGGGAAAAGAAGCAGCAGTATAAGGGTTGGGGATAGCAAGTGATGGAGAGGAGGAGAATAGAGAGGGCGGGGCTTCAAGGAAGGGGCGGGGTGGTAGAGCTTCGCTTGTTCTGTCATTTAACAAGTGATCTTGGGTGTAAAAAGGTTGGACACCACTGGGATACAGGTGCCCTGACTTCAGCTCTCCCCTCCTCTCTCTACTGCTACCAGGAGAATACTGGGAGCAACTTGGCTCTAGGACAGCTGTTTGCTATCAATATCAGCTTAGTGAGCTGGAGAGACATGTTTGGTAGGACCCGATTTTTGCCTACTCCTACCCAACAGATACATTCATGATGCTAAAGAACAAGGTACATTCAAACTAATGCATAATGGGGTGGTGAACCATATGCTGTAGCAGTGCTCTTTAATCTTCACAGATTGCTCATTGATGGAGTATGAAGGTGTAATTTTTAGGATCTGCTTATCTGACATTGCTTTGCTTTTCTGTGCCCTTCTGTTCTGGTTGTGATCAGCAGAGTACAGGGCAGAAGTTATACTGTGAATTTCAGCATGAATATTGTTTGCTACAGCAGAGATGAAGATAGCCAGCCTGCCTGCCTCTCCACCTGTGTGAGATGGGGTCTTGTGGTACTGTTCCCAATGGCTAAGAGCCTGCTAAACCTTGACTGCTTCCCCTCTGATACAGTCAAATCTTTTTTTACTACAAGTATGTCCATGTGACCTAGGGACAAGATTCATTGGATATACCATAGATACGATGCAATGCCTGGAGGAGGTAAAATGTTGGCATGTTCTATGGGAGTTCTGAGTACCTGTGGTAAAGGGTTTTTTAATTGTGTTTTGTTTACAGGCAGTCCCCGACTTACGCGGATCCGGCTTATGTCGGATCCGCAGTTACGAACAGGGCTGCTCCAGAGTACACGGACTGCGGGACCTCGCGGTCCTGCCGCCCGTGTACTCTGGGGCTTTCTCTGCGTCTCCCTGGTCTGCAGACGAGGAAGACGCAGAGCAAAGCCGCGGAGGGGCTCGGGCAGCCCAGGGGCGCTGGACTGCTCCGCTGCTGGCTTTCCCCCGGCCTTTGCAAACTGCCGGGGGGGCCGGGCAG